TTATAATTTAAAACATATCTACGCGTAGATCATGATGTTCTGTTAGAATCGCTGAAAACTGTTTTCCAAAATTCGCAACGGGTAGTGTACAGCATCGATTTCTGTGGAACCCAGTAGCTGTCAAAACTTTCACATTTTTACGAATAACTCGGAAATCGTAAATTTTTCAGGTAAAACGTTTGACACAAACTTAACTTAAATTTTGACGACAAATCTGAAAATGAATGAAAAAAGGGGCGGTTCCATTTAAAAAACCAAAGTTGGTAACTACCACACGTTTATGATACACCCCGTATATTGGAAAGTTATTTTAAAATGTGGACCTTTTAAACATGAAAAACTTTCGTAGGACGTATTTTCTTGTAAAGTTCATATTTACTGAGATATCGCACTTTGACGCACTAATGAGCAACCCTGTATATACATCTGCTTTTTTCTCAAAGAAACAAACTAAAAGTGTAATTAAGGTATGATAAAATCGTGCCGAATTTTTGCCAAAGTTTTCGATTTGAAAGAGCTAAAAATAGTAGAGAATTTCAGATTTCATGATTTCAGATCCTGGCATTTTTAAATAAATTATTAATTTATTTATTTTAATAGCTCTTTCATAACAACTAAGAAATAGCAATAAATTAATAATTTATTTAAAAATGCCATGAACCTTTCACATTAATATGAAAGGACAATTGATTAGTTTATATTAACATCTGTGCATATAATTCAAAATGATTTCGTAAACATTAAGACCATCAAATAATCAGTAAATTTAAAAAAGCGATAAACATTTGTATATCAATTTTATTTATTTTAATTTTAAATATTTTATATAGCTACTTAAGCTCAATGATTAAGAACGCTTTTTGCCATTAAATTGCTGATTAAATGTTTTATATGAATTTCAATTGAATGCTGAACTGCTCAACCACGGTCAGATTTGCTCTAACTTTGCCTTGCAACTGGATAAATTCATTAATATAATAATCAAAACTTCTGAACCATCGTATCTTACGAGTTGAAAATATCAGAACTAATAGAAGAAATTCGGCTCCAAAACTATTGAAAATGTTGTTTATGTTCGCACTGAAACCTGATTGTTGACGACTTTGAAAACACAGGTCATAAAATATGATAAAATGGACGTTTTTTTGCAAATGCACGGTCTTGCCCCAAAAGTTGTAACTTCTGAACCAGCACACGGTAGGAGTTCAAAATTAGAGAACTAAGTTCCAGACTTTGGAAACGCAAGTCATATAATAGACGTTTTCCCGCAAATACAGTCTTTTGCCCAAAAATTTATAACTTCTGAACCAGCACATGGTGTGCATAGAAAATCTCACAACTACCTAATAGAAGATGTTCGGCTCCAAATGTCCTGAAAGTTTCGTTATACTCGCACTGAATCCTGTTTTCTCTTGATTCTCTACTTTGGAAACCCAGGTCATAAAATGAAAGTTTTTTCTCAAATACACGCTCTTGCCCAAAAATGCATAACTTCTAAGCCAGCTGATGGTCTTAGTTGAAAATTTCGGAACTATTAGAAGACATTCGGCTCCAAAAGTGCTGAAAATGTCGATTAAGTCGCACTGAAACTTAAATGTTCGAGACTTTAAAAATGCAAGTCATCAAAATAGGCGTTTTCCCGCAAATAACGCTTTTTCCAAAAAATTATAACTAATTTATGTTATAAATATATTTATTAATAACTAACATGGTGTGCATAGAATAGAAATCTCGCAACTAATAGAATACATCCCGCTCCAAATGTGCTGAAATATTCGTCATAGTCGCACTGAAACCTGAATATTCCCGACTTTGGGAACACAGTTCCCAAATTGAACGTTTTTCCTCAAGTAGAAGCCTTAGCCAAAAATTAATAACTTCTTAACCAGAGCATGGTGCGAGTTAAAAATCTCATAACGAACAGACGATATTCGGCTCTAAAAGTGTTGGAAAAATTCGTTTACTCTCACAGAAACCTGAATGTTTCCGACTTTGGAAATATGATTGATGCGAGCGATTTGATTTTTGTTTCAAACCTTCAAATTAAACAAATAATCGTATGTTGACGTAAAGACAGGCTTTAGATCAGGTTTTTTAATTTTTCGCCTATTCCGTTTACTTACGAGATGATCACAAAAGATCAACTATTTGATTGCTTGCACAGATAAAAGTTTTTCTTTTGCACCTATTTCCTAAACTTTCTTTACTTTCAAACAATTTGCTCATTCATGCAATCCTGTATACTGAATTTTTGTATTAAGTCGACTTTGAAGTTTTAGCTTTAACATGGGAGCTAAATTTTAAAACATACCAAAAATAATTTTGAGATGAGGTGTTTTTAATTGTATAATTGCGGTAGATAACTCTTTAAGCAGAAATTAAATCGCTGGAAGCAATCAAAATTTAGCCAGTTTCTTTTGTGGATCTCTTTAAATAAAAATCTGAAATTTGCATTGAGAGCAAGAGGATATCAACTATTCAGAGCCTCAACTAACAGGAATTATTGTTCACAATTTTCGATTGAAATTAGATTAGGCAAAACACTGTTTCAAAGAAAATAACACTTGTGAAGAGATCAAAGTTCACAAGGCGCATTTTTCAATTACACAAATTTCCAGTAGTTTAATACCGTGGTCATATCCAAGACGAAGCTTTATAATTTTCTATTGTCTTATCGTACTAGTTTAATTTTTCTGATTTGCTACTCTTTTTTTTCATATTTGAATGGTTGGTTTGTACTTTGCAGCTTTGCACGCCGTTATTAACATGCAGGAGATTTTCATAGATATTCCTTCACCCAATTCGACTAAAAGGTGATTGTTTTATTATAATTTTTTAATTTAAATTTTTCCAGTAGTACACTTTTTTGTCATTAAATCTAGTGTAGGTAAGAGTGCATTAAGTTCTGAATTTAAAAATAATTTCAACACTATTTGCAAGTGCAACTATGCTAACGCGATGATTAATTGCTAAGAGCTAATTTTGCGAACGCTTTTCATACTCTATGAGTTAGTTGGTTTTCATAAACAACATGAGGCTTTGAATTAACCCAGTAAGTTTTAATTAAGTGTCATTAGCAATGTTGACTCTAATCAAGGTACAGAGAGCTTAGAGGCTTGAAAATACATATACTCAAACTATTCAAAAAGAAAATATATTGAAGGGTAGTAGATTAATCAATTCTCAAATCATCATGCGAAAAATAATTCTAGAGTATTCTCAAAGAAAATATAAAGGTCAATTTTACGAAAGTTTTGTAATGGGAAAAATAATTTATCCAGGTTCATCTACGATATTTTCGAAATGTCTCCGACAGCGACGCTTTTCAACCAACCCTCTCAATTCACACCGTCTTACTCCAACGTGAACAGACACTCAAGGCAGCCTGAATATGCGAGTTCTGGTTCAACCAATTCGCTATTTACGCCAACCTACACGACCCCAAACAATTGGTACCAGTACCAAACTACTGAACCTTATCAGGTACAATTTGACTAAATCACCCGAATATGGGCGACAATTTGTGAATATTTTCAGGCAAAAATGTTAAGTCCCACATGGAATTCCACGTATTCACCAGGCCAAGGCCAATTCTCCTACAATCCCTATAACTTGGCAACTCTCAGTAATCTAACCAGCCTGAACAATTTAAATAATCCCTTTTCGAACGACCATTTAGCTGACATAACCGAACAACTGGCCGAATTAGCCTTAGATCGAAGACCTTTGAAACGACCTCCAACTTCATACTTGTGCCATTTATGCTTCCAGAAAGGCCACTATATAAAGGACTGTCCACAGGTGAGTGAAGTAAGAAGAAATTATTTCAGTTTAAATCTATGGAAGTTACAGATTGCTTGGAAATAGAGAACCACTTGGTCTGTTTTTGCCAAATGTCTTGTCTCAAGAAAAATTTATTTATCTGGAGTAGACGGGAAGAATAAAGATACAACAAAGCGTCGGCAACTGCCAATAGCTTAGTTTACAAATTAACTTTAAAGCTGAAATAATTTTATTGACAAAATACCTTGGTTGATTTATGTCGAATTCCTACTTCTTAACTTACTTACTTATTTTGATTTATTTTCCTGGCTGCGTGTAATCGTTCAGTCAAAGTGTGAAATAAAAATTTGTATATCGTTTAATTCATAACGTTTCGGCGAGACAACAGCGCCATCATCAGATTTAAAATTCATACAAACCAAATACCAATTTACAATTAAAATATGTTGTACAAAAAGTATAATTTATAAAGCGTTAAAACATTCATTAGTTCTTGAGGAAGAAACCCTTTTTTTGGGAGAGTGAAACATTAGATTCGTTTAGGTCTTTGCTGTCTTGAAACCTCAAATTTGTTCGAATTATTGTCGACATTTGCGAGAATGGTATGTATGTATTGAGATAAGCGGAAATAGTTAGTTTTAATTTGTCACTAGTGTACTGGGTGTTCTATACTCATGGCTTTATTAGGGTTTGGTAAATGTTGTTAAGGCTGTCGGTATCTGATCTGAAATGTACTGCTTTTGCATGTTTTTTATTTGTATCATTTCTTGGATACCTACTTCTTTTATGGTAATTTGTTTTCCTAACCAATATATCCGCGTTGTCAAAATCGAAATTATGTAACATTTGGTGTGCATGTTGTATTAATGCTGTTTTATTTTCACTAGTATCTCAGACTGTATTTATGTTCGTACATTCTCTTTTTTAAATATTGTTTAGTTTGCCCTATATATGTATTATCCCATTCCAAACAATTCACTCTATATACAGTATTTGGTATATTCATTCTGTCAGTTTTCGGTTTTAGTTTTGGGAAACATTCAGTTGATAAGTTTTTTGTTTTTTCCGCAATTATAATGTTGTGTGGTTTTAGTATTTTTGAGATTTTCTTATTGATTTCTAGAATATATGGTAGTTATATATGTATTGTTTCTTCATTATTATATATTTAGTTGAATTGTAAATTTTGTTATATCTTCGCTTTATTATTGGTTTGGGTACATAGTTATTATTAAGTACTATTTTTTCTGATTTTTTTTTTTTAATTTTCTGGTCTGTAATTTGGGTGTGATAATTGTATATAATCGAACGAATAAATCGGTGTTATTACGCTGTTTTTATATTTTTGGGGTGCATCTGATTTATAGTTTAGTTTAGTTTATTTATCCTGATCAAACTTCTTTTGTATACCAATTTGTTTTTCTTTTACCTGAATTATTATAATTTACTGTTATGTCCAAAAAATGTGCTGATTGATTTTTATCCTTTTCTATTGTAAATTTTATAGTGTAGTGAAAATTGTTGAATTTATCTTGGGTATATTGAATTTTATCTTTGTATAAACACATTAAGCAATGTCCACATAGCGTTTAAAGAAAGTTGGTTTATAATTTAGGTTTGTTATTATGTTTTTTCCAAGCTTTTCATAACAATGGGGGACCCATTGCTACACCTTATATTTGTGAAAAATATTTTTCTTCAAACTTGAAATATGTAGATTTTAGGTATAGCTCTACCGCTTCAATAAATTATTTTTCTCGAATTGTTGAATGTTGTTCGATTTCCTTCATTTTGTTTTTATACACTCTATTGCATATTCAATTGGGATATTGGTATATAATGATGTTACATCAAGCAATATTAATAATTTTTTTCCTCAAGAACTAATGAATGTTTTAATTGTAAATTGGTGTTTGTAGTTTGTATGAATTTTAAATCTGTTGATGACCCTGTTGTCTCGCCGAAACGTTATAAAATAAGCGATATAAAAAATAATTTCCCACTTTGACTGAAACCCAGGAAGGAAAAGATTATAATTACTTATTTATGATTTATGAAACATAAAGTTTATCTTCGATAATTTGAATACTTTGTTAAAACCTGATGAATACGTCTATTGATCGAGTAATCGATTCAAAAATGCACTTTGTGTATGTGTTTGGTTCTAGCACAGCTTATATATCATGATATATATATATATAAGCTGTGGTTCTAATTTATTGCACTGTTGTAGCAGTGCACGACATTAAATCATTCTTAAATGGACAGTTTAAGGGTCGTATTCAACAGGCATTTGTAGAAGAAGGCGCACGTTTTACGAAAGCTGCACTTTATAGGCCTAATCGGCCTTTTGTTATTCGAACTGAAAGTGGGAAAATTTCTAGAATATCTCTATTTTTGCGCATATACAAGCTCTCTAAAACGTTTAAAAAAATAATCATCAAACTTAAAAACAATATTTTTAAATTGGTATATTGACCTGTTCAACTGTTACATATTTCATAAAGTAACTGTATTTTTCTATAAACATAAGAGTGTAATGCGCTTCATGGTTAATCCAGCCCTGAAAGCAACGGTTTTTCCAAACTTTCCCAATCAACTCTGCTTTTAAATACAATAAAATACCTATTCGAATTTTCATGTTTTCAAATTATTATCGGAGCCAAACAGCAAACAAAAATGCATCACAAATAAAGCGCAGCTGTTCAAAAATGTCCAGGGAAGAAACACTAATTCGCATTAAGGCGCATTACATCCAACTATCAACAGGCGATTATTTTATGATTACTTCAACAGTATTGTAATGAACATAACCAATACTTCAATCGAGATAACAAGTTATAAATAAGCGAGGAAAAATAATAGCTCAGTCAGAGGAATGCGAAAATTGAATACCTTGCAGACATGAAATCTTTTAATCAGTATTTTGATGTTTAACGTTATCAGTTCTGAATGTTTTACACAACGGAAGCAAACAAAAGTATTCTGGAATTCTCAATTTTATTGATTTGAAAACTGTTGAGCTTTTCCTTGGGGCAATAAAAATATTTCTGAAGAATTTAATTCCAGGCTCGTCCTAGAGGTGAAGGCAAAACCCCATACCAAGGCAGAAAAAGATGTTTTGGAGAATACAAATGCTCAAAATGTAAACGGAAATGGATGTCTGGAAATTCTTGGTCTAATATGGGCCAAGAGTGCATCAAATGCCATATCAACGTATATCCCCATAAACAGGTAAACATTTAAGTTTTGTGAATGAATTGTCGTTCTTCCGAAAAATCCGCAGAAAAATATAAACCACTTTTAAAACTAATTCATCAAGAACTAGATTCAATTGAAATATTTTAGTTTGCTGAGTAGTAATGTGTTGGTATCTTTTTCCTTAAAGCATTTCACAGCAAAATGCAGTTGGTCAAATATAAACTAAAAAATGGAAATTACAGAGAATAAACAACTAGCCAGTATTAGAAAGAAGAAGAAAGCCAGAAAGTATTAATTACCAGAACTAAATTGTGTCAAAACCTTTTGATTCTTTGGGTTTTTGCTGTTCACGTATCTCCGTGAATAGCGATTTCAGTTTCAGCATTCATCAAAGCAAAACATCTTAATCGACTGTACGCGAAAAATGAAATTTCTCTTTCGGTTGCTAAAACAACTGCTCAATTAAATAATTTTGGCAGCAAACTTGGCACTAGTCAAGAGTTTGGTCAAGTTTCAGTTAATGATATCCTCCAAATTCAAGTCCTACCGAATAAAACGGATTTTTGAATTACCTTGTTTCTTTTTCCTATATGAATATGGGTTAGTTACAGTTGGCTCGAAAAAATGGGTGAAAGCACCTTGCAGTAAAGGCATTTTTTATCATAAATAGCCCAAGTAAAATTTAAAAAATCCAGTGTCAATAATTATTTATTAATTATGAAATAATTGGATTTTGCAGAGGCCCTTGGAAAAACCAGATGGACTAGATGTGTCCGATCAATCGAAAGTGCATCCTCAACACTTGTGCCAAAAGTGCAAGGAATTGGGATATTATTGCAGAAGAGTGCAATAAAGGGAAGAAATGCTTCCTTTTCCTTTACACTATCTTAAAGTTAATTTAATGTTACTACTTTCAAACCGATATAGATGTTTAGGTGTTTTACTTGTTCAGTTGAATGTATTTTTTATTTTTCTTATTTTTATATTTTTGTTAACGATTTTATCAATCAGTATTTTGTTTTGATCATATATAGTTTATTACTGCCTAATAAGTACTTAGGTATTTGATGCAAGATCTGATTTGATTTGCTGTTTTCGGTGTATATAATTTAAAGGCCGCCGAAAATTTTTTGTACTTACTGATGTCCATGATATGGGCTTCTCGGTCGTTATAAAGAATTTTTTTATGTCCGTCCTATATTTCTCTCCGGACGTTTCACAGGGACGAGTAACTTCTCTCGATAACTCCTTAAAAAAACGACATCTATTTCGAATCACCCTGTATTCTGTAGCTTTCTTTATCGAAACTAGCAGGTAATAAAACGCTACGATAAAAAACTGTTTTACTTTAAATTAAGAAAAATTTTCTTAGCCACTGACTGATGGGCAAAAGCGGATGATTAAACTTGCTAATGTAAATTCGCAGTTACTGCGTGATTGTAAGGCGTGTTGAAACTACTTCAAATAATAAAACATGTTATTTAAAAATAGTTTTATTATAACCAATAAATATAATCAGGTAAATCAATTCCGTAGCGATAATTAAGACCGGTGACAGAAATACTTTATACCAAAATAGGAATGCATGAATTCTAGAATAGAATCCATTTGGTCACCAGGATAGTCGGTCGGGTTCTTTGGACCATTTATAAATGCCACCCCGTTTCTTAAACATTTCCTCGTCAAATCCGGAAAATTGCAAGGCGTTTTCGACTCCAATGTCCAAAATGGACTTTGAAGGAACTTTTGCTCCATCCCGACAGTCCAGAAAGCGCATCTAAATCACATGTAAATTTACTGATTGGAAAAAAAACATATCACCCAACGACTTACGTATTCGTCTAGAATCAAGTAGCTGTTTTGCATTTTTGCATTGGATTCGGGCACCAAAGACTTAACGGATTGGTGTCTGGAAATAAAACGCTCGAAAGTTTCCGCGTCGATATAGAACCTTTGAGCGTCTTTTAGAGCTTCCGGTCCAGCGTTTTCGCCCTCAAGGAGCAGACATTGGAACACCTTCCATCTGAATGAAAATTCCATCGGTTTTTTCAGCTTATAAAAAGTTAAGAAAAGTGCTAGTTCTTACCTTATGGGGTTCAGCAGGTTAATTTCATCCATCATATTCTCCTCCTGGTTGTACGTGTTTACCACCGTGTTGATTTTCAGCAGAATGTCGTACTCGAGACACCAATCCCTGATTTTTTTCAGCTTCTCTATGTGATTCTTGTTGCCCTGACCTCTACCAATCGCCTAACAGAAAAAAATTGATTAATTTTAGCAGCAAAATAATATTTTCATAGTACATTTATACGAAATACATATCTCTAGCCAAGACTTCGTTGATCCTAAACGGGGTATTTTTGCTACTTAACTTAACATTTAAAACTTGTTGATTTTAATGCTTCTTAAAAGCATAGCAAAAATGCGAGTACAGATAAACTCTCAGAAGGGCTCTAGGAACCATTTGGTGCCAAAAAATTTTTAAAAAAGTCTTCAGAAAATATTTCAAAGTGAATGGTTACAAATTTCTTTTCCTCCGTTTCCCTTCGAATTTACCAACAAATTATTTACCTTTCGACAGTTTGTGAACGGATTAGTGTTTAGGCCTATATATTTGAACTACAAGCTCTTTCGATATGATCATGTCAATGTTAACGAGCGAGTAACTTTTGCAGACTAACCATTTTTAATTATTTTCAGTTTCTTTAATGTTTGATCTAAAATGTATTTAAATTTAAATTTTTCTCCATCTTTTATAACTGATATCATTAGGTCCACAAACCGACTGTTTTGGAGATAAACTCGCCCCAGTTCTGAAGTATACATATAATGCCTATTTAAGCTAATCGCCTATTATACATTTTATATAAACGCCCTGAACAAGAGGACTCTTCCTAGGGAGACTATTAGGCTTAGTCCAAAGTCAGGTAGAAGCATTAGCAGATTTTAGTCAAGTTCGCATTGAATTTCTGTATTTTCTGGTACATCTTTTCGGTAAGTGTTTATGATAGTTAATTTATCAGATCATACTATTATTTAAATTTTCTGCTCAGAACTGCACTTCAAGATTTGAGAGTTTATAAACAATCAGCAGGTGGTTGGATTTAGGTGAAACTTTCACAATTCATTATCAATCAATAGGATTTATTTTTCACTGGTCTGCAGTTTTTAGAGCTTGTTTACTGTAAGTTACAAGTTAAAAAACTTCTGAAAAATTTGATAGTGTTTGGATTTATGGGAAATTTTCCCAATTTGTAGCTCTGTATTGAGCTGCGCGATGGCAAAATTAGAATTCGTTGACTAATACAGCGGCGGAGTTTGCAATTATATTTCATGGGCCTGCAAATTCAAGAGCGTCTTTACTGTAAAAAATCAGCAAGTACTTCGATTTAGGTGAACTTTTCACAATTTGTAGTCCGCCAGTTTATGCATGTGTTCTTGAAATTGAAGCTCGTTGACTGCATCAGTGGCGCAAATATGAATTAGTTTTCAGAAGTCTGAAGAAGTTGGAACTTGTTTACTTTTTGAAAAAAAAGCAAGTTTCAAAGCTTGTCCAAACACAATCAATTCTAGAAAATGGTTCAGTTTTTCACAACTTGTTGCCTGGTACTTCAGGTGTGTTATGCATCAATTAAAATTTGCGGGCTGTAGAAAATGAATGTTTTATTGTTAGTGTTGTTAGTTATTTTTTCACTTAGATTCTTATTGTGGCTTATTTTTTGAAAATACTGCATTTTGCAGTTTAATCGCCAATATCTCGGAAACAGAGGCTTGTTGGGGCAAATCGTAAATAAAAATAACTGTGCTGTTGACAGCAACCCGATGAATTTAGAACAACTCTTTCCCTATGAATCTCTAAGCTATCACTACTACGATCTTAAGAACCAATACCTCAATTCTAATAGCATAACTAGAAACAAAAGTATGTATAATTATTCCTAAACACACTTTGAAAGTCTGCAATAAGAATCGTTATACATATAAGAGCGATTAATGCATTTAACAATCTGCCAAAAGAATTTAAAACTTTAGAAGCTGATAGAGTCTCTCAAAAAAGAAAACTTAGAGAAAGGATGAAAGATAATTGTTAAATTATAAATTTGGTGTCAATTTTTTTGTATTTTTTATTTTATATTTTTGGTATATACCCGGACATGTTTCCACTGATAAATTTTACAGGTCAATATACACTATACTGAATGCTAAAATCAATTGAATTGGAGAAAGAGCATAGTTCCCGGGGTTGTTTTGCGAATAGTTTTTAATTAGTTTTACGTACGCCAACCTATGTACAGAGTTATTGATTGAAATCTGGCCACCTCGTTTTTGCATCTAATTTGAAATTTAGAGAAAAATGTTAAAAACAAAAGTTGTAGATATTAAAGTATAGTTTGTTTTAAGATAATACCAATTGATACAGGGTGTTTTAAATTCAAGTGGCAGACCAAACTTACCTTTTTTTAGTGGAATGTCGTACTTTTTATTGCATATTCGAACTATTCGCACGATTCTAGGCCTACTCGATATAAATGTTCTATAAATGATGTTCTATATGCAATAAAAAGTACGGCATTCCATTTAAAAAAAATCGTAAGTTTGGTCTGCCATTTGAATTTGAGACACCCTGTATCAATTGATATTATCTTAAACTAGACGTAAATATTTTTCAATTAGATTAGATGAGATTAGAATAATTTAAATTTCAAATTAGGTTGAAAAATGGGGTGGCCAAAGTTCAATCAATAACCCTGTACATACAGATAGCTAGTCTCAATAGGATTACTCTATAAGATATATGTTATTATCTGGTTAAATAAATAAATAAATATTGTTACTCGATTCTCTATCGTTCCCTGAAGTTTCCGCGCTTGAAACTGGACCACCCTGTAGATGTTGTGTTTTTATTTTTTTAGTCGGTTGAACTTACTCGGCTACTCAGTATTATCTTTATATAACTTTTAAGTATTATGGAAAAAAATCATTGCAGTCCTGACTGCACAAAATGCGATTTTTGGTGAAATTTATGGACAATCTAGGATTCTTCAAACGAAAACTGCCTCAGATCAAGAGTACTTCTAAATTAAAAATTTGACGAACTTTTTCTAAGCGACAATTTTTGCCGCTTAGAAAAGAAAATGACGAATGAAATCCATACAAAAGTCACTATCTAACTTTACTGGTTTCTGAAGTGATAAACTTCGGGTTGCATAAACATACGGAAAATACCATATTTTTTTATTCCTGCAAATCCCCTGTGGACGAGACAAAATCGAAACATTTTTCACTTAAAGGGCAAACTTTGCTTTACAAAATAAATGCAGAAGTGGATCTCTAACTTTGCAAGTTCCAGAACCAATAAATGTGAAACTTTGACTTGCTTATTTATACGCAAAATTCATATTCAACATTGAAAAATTCTTGAGAATTGCCTCAGAATGATGGAAAATCGAAACTTTTATCAGGAATGAAACACACTATACCCAATAAAATCTATGCAAAAATTACTATATAAATTTACAGGTTCCTGAAGAAATGTCTGTCAGGGACTCTAAAAATATACGCAAAATACAATCAAGGTTGTCTTTTGAGTCCCTCCGAATTTTTTGTTTTTTCTTCTTTTACCTTAAAGAACACTTATTTATTAGCCCAAAAAAGTTTCCTCACGAAGTTTGAGGAAACCCACCAATTTCAAGCCAAATTTCGGGGCTGTTGCCAAACTGCGCAGAACGTTTAAAGTTAATGTAAATTGTTTCCTTAGATACCTAACATGCGTACTCATTCAATTTGGGTCGGTTCAGATCAATTAGGTCCTTTTGTTTCATTCAAAAAATCACTTCAACCAACACAAACAAACGAACTCAAAATTAACCGAAAGAAAAAACGCAAAATACGTGGCAACACCGCATTGTGTTTTCATTCCCGAAAAAAACAGATAATTGCATCTGACTATCGACGAGCTAGATAACTATCTCTCGTCTTTATCTATTATAACCACAATCACTTGATGGCGTTAGAAAGGATGCTCAATCTTTTGCGAAAAACACAATTTATTATGCATCTTAGCGACATCTTTACATGTGGAGTTATGAATTGTTGATACCTAAAACACGATTCAGCAGCGAATAGCAACGGACAATCTCATTTTCGTGCACAAATCAAAAAAAAGAAAAAAAATACAAATTCGGTGGCACTCAAACGACAGGATCACCATTGACCAAAATCGATCAACAATTTGACCACCTATCTGATTAATAGATACTTTTACAACAGCTGAAAATGGGAGTTGATTAAATTGGTACCTTGTTGATGTCTTCATGGAAAGAATCGCATGATATGGCCAATATATCCACATATCGACTGTAGCATTTAAACCAATTTTCCGTAATCATTGACCCGTTTGAGACAATGGATACAGATGATAACTTCAAAAACTCTTTACAATATCGTGCCATTTCTCCTAGGTAATGTCCACGTCGTGGCAGAAACGGTTCTCCGCCACTGAAGTTAATTTTTTCCATACCTAAATTCAAACCACAAGAATTATGCATAATTTTTAGCATTGCAGCCACTTACCCGCTTGTTTGAGCATGGCAAGTCCCTTTTTTGCCTCGTTCAGCGGCATCACAAAAGAGGTTTTAGCCGTATGAAAGCAAAAGCCACAGCTGTAGTTACACTGGCGGGTAAAATGATAATTTACGCTTTTTGGAATTATTTTATTGGGCGCGCGAATTAGTTGAAATAACACTGCGATTTTCACCAACAACTGCGACCAGTATTCGCTCATTTTTCTCAAACTGGGCCCAATGTAATTGAGATAACTATTTATGAAAGAGAGCATTTTGTTCGTGGAGTAAACAGATACACTTGCATGCAGAGCACACTTGCTCACCTCAGACAAACAACTCGAACTACTACAATCCTTAAATAGCTGTAGCTGTAGGCTAAATTCCAGATCGGTTGGGAACCACCGATTTTCGTATTGTAATTCCCACGAATGCTTCGTTGGCATACTGTGAAACGCAAAACCCGCTTAACTACACAGGAAATGAAAACTATAGAATTTAATCGCGTACTGCAATACCGACGCAAATCCTGACGGCTTAAAAAGTAGCTCGCATCTCGAGTGTAAAACTTTGCAGGGAATTCTAGACGACTCGGTTTGGCGGTCTTTTACTTTTACATCCTGCTCGCACCATTTTCCAGCAACAGTGCTAATAGACAACAGACGTTTTTCGAAGCCACTCTGTATATAAACTATTTAAAAATACTTGCGTAGCAGAAATGTATTATGAAAAAATGAATGAACTTTCCATAACACGTGACTGATAAGGTGCAGCGAAAATATAAATCTTTGATTTATAGAAACAAAACTGACCAACGTTTTGAATAATTCACAAATTTCAAATTATTTCATAACTTAATAAGTACTTGAGTTATTTACTGGAACACAATAATTTAGCTATTTCCATGTAAAGATTAGATACCTATAAATATCGATGACTTGTAAGTATTACTTTATTGAGTGTCTCGTCGATTTTACCAAAACATACTTGTGCTATTAATTACATTTCATGATTACGTCTTTGTGGAGAAAAGACGACATGAAAGCAAATCTTATTCCGCGTCCAGACCAATCAGATCTTGTTTTTTCATCATAAATTTTACAATTTTTTTTGTATCAGAGTAAGTATTGGATCCGCCCTATAAGTATATTAAATGCTTGCATACAAAAAGTACAAATTAAGAGTATCATATTGCTTCTATAATTATCACAAACATAAACTGCATATGCCAGCGTAAAATATAATCTTGATCTGAACCGCAAATGTGTTTTTCTTTCATGGCGTTTCACAAGAGCAGTAGCGAGTCCGACGAACGCCACTGCGCTTGTATTAATATTAACCCGGTTGTTTTATTTACTAATGTCCTTTTCCTATTGTACATCTCATAATAAATTATATATTTTTATACTCAGTTTTTTTATTGAGAAAACTAATCGCAAACTAGGGCCTGCCTGAGCAACTTCAGCATTTCAGCAATCGAAAGCACAGTCAACAACCTCTCAAAAATTACCTGAGGATGAGGCAAAATCGAAACGTTTTCCTTCCATAGCACGCACTTTGCCTTATAAAAAAAGGTGCCCAAGGTGAATCGGATTCACCCTTCAATAGTTTCTGAGAAAATAAATGGCAAATGTAGGACTGCATAAGTACAAGATTATTGACTGAACTTTGGCCACCCCGTTTTTGCTTCTAATTTGAAATTTAGAGACAAATGTTAAATACAAAAGTTGTAGATATTAACGTCTAGTTTATTTTAAGAGAATATCAACTTTTACAGGGTGTCTCAAATTCAAGTGGTAGTCCAAACTTACGTTTTTTAAATGGAATGCCGTACTTTTTATTGCATATTCGAACTATTCGCATAATTCTAGGCCTACTCGATATAAATCAGTGGCAGACCAGATTTACCTTTTTTTAAATGGAATACCGTACTTTTTATTGCATATTCGAACTATTTTTATTTTTCATATAAAACTGAAAAATTCTTGGAAATTGCCTCGGGATGATGGAAAATCGTAACTTTCATCAGTAATGAAACTATACTGTACACTGTATACAGTACTAACACTATGCCCAATAAAATCTATACAAAAGTCACTATCTAAATTTACAGGTTGCTGAAGAAATGTCTGTTAAAGTCCGGTCTCTCAAAATATACGCAAAATATAATGAAGTTTTTAATTCCTGAAAAATTTCAATTTGAAATTTTCAAAAAAGTTAAAATGAAATCATTTTCTACTTATAATTGTCGCTCTATGAAACCGATACAGAAGTGGTTTCCTAAGTTTTCAAGTTTCCGAGCAAAAAATCTGAAACTGACCTGCTTAATTAGACGCCAAAACCACGAACTTTAAAAAAGTTCAAAAATTTTAAAAAAATTCTTAAAAATTGCCTGATGATAACTGAATATCGAAACGTTGGCTTCTAATGAAACAGGCGATGTCCAATGAAATCCCTACACCAGTAACTCTCTAATTTTACTTGTTTCTGAAGAAATAGCCTCTTAGAAGAAAAAACTCTGGCCTGCGTAAACATGCGCAAAATACAATAGATTTTTAATTCCTGAAAAGATGAGTCAAAATCGAATCACTTTGCGCTTATAGAACACACTTTACCCTACAAAAGCGATGCAAAAGTGGTTCTCTAGATATGCAAGTTTCTGAGAAAATAAAAATGAAACTTTGACCTGCTTAATTGTGCACGTGGTAATAAACCACATTCAGCTTTGAAAAATTCTTGAAAATTGCTTGATCAAGAATTAAAATCGAAACTTTTACCACTAATAAAACAGACTAAATCCAGTAAAATATATACAAAAGTGACTATCTAACTTGACGGTTCGTCTTAAATATCCGCGAAAACCACATGTAACTTTCAAAAATTCTTGAAAATTACCTGATGATGACTGCGAATCGAAACTTCTAGCACAAATAAAACTAACTTTATAATATAAAATAAATATAAAAGATATTCTCTAACTTTGCCGATTTCTGAATAAATATAATTCCAACTTAGGGATGCAAGAATAGGCAAAAATGACCTGATAAAATCCAAAAATTTTATTCACTTGTATCAATAATACTAATATACTTTATTCACTTTCTTTAATTTTAATTGAATTAAAATACACTACTGTGTTTTCACTTTACTTCAACCATATCAATCAATCATTCAAATTCAACTAGTAAAACCAGAAATTATTTCTAACAAATATAATGTAATAATACAAATATTAAAAAAATAATAAAAGAAGGAAATTCTTTACCCTACACGTCCGCTGTGGCACAGCGCACCTGCCCGCACGCACTGTACGCGCAGCAGAAAATCGCATACTTTTCGTCCATGTTGCCGAACTGCCACCAAAGTAGAAAAACTCAATGAAAATAAAAAATTCATTCATTCAAGGCTGAAAACTTAATTTAAGCAGAATTACGTCCATACAGGAAATAGTAGACAACACTGATAAGCTCATACATATGATTGTGCGCTTAATTTAGCCGGGGCCCAGCTGATTGCAGCCAGCGGTTTGAAATATCAATTTAATTGGGTATGCATGCAAAAAAAATGAAATAAAAAATTTTCAATTTTGGCATAATAAATGATTTGTTTACATAAAAAGGTAAAGGAAGTGGTAATGTTTAGAGTTTAAAGTGGTAATATACTACTGGCAACTATGCGAAAATTTTTGAGTGTCACGCCGGCGCAGAGCGCTGAACCATCATGTCAACCGTTGTTTTGTTTTGAAAATTGGTGAATTTCAGAGGGTGAAAAGTGATGGAAAACGGCATTCGGTCCAAAAATGTATAGAAAAAATGTTGTTTGTTACTATATTTTCTATGAGGTAAGCATAGTGCAAGCGCAATCCTAGTACCAGACTGTAGTGTAAAGAATTACCCAAAATAATATAGAAACAATATGCAATCATAAAAATAAATGTAGAATATGAAAAAATGAAAAAAATGTGTAGGGAGCTCCAAATACGCCATCTTTAATTACATACATACTGACAGTTTGTGCAGTCACTCATCGCATGCGTGTGCGGCTGTTAACATTTGGAATTTTATTGTGAGCATACAAATATGGAAAATATTCAGCTAATAAATGAATTGAAGGGAAAGGGATAAACATTTCTTCAGTAGTTGGTCTGTATATCAGGTTTGATTAATCATACTTTTATTTATTATTCAACTTCAAATAAATATTCGAATCATTCGTGAGTGCTCGTGCTTCTTCCTCTAGTGCATTCTATCGTTTTTCTACAAAACTTGAAATATATTGGCAACACTGTTCACTATTATCGCACTTCATGAAAGTCAGACGCTGCCAACAGTCATTTAGGTTTGGTCTTTTCGCTCCGCTTTCCGTTTCCGCTGGTTCTAAAAATGGCCACAACTATATCGAAGAAACGCAAATTCGTCGGTGACGGCGTGTTCAAGGCGGAATTGAATGAATTCCTAACTAGGTAAGTCCCCTTTTGTCTCCGATTTGTCAAGATAACTTAATGTTCCCCAAAACATCCAATTTCATCCAGAAAAGTAGATAGAATAGGTTGGATAGTGGCATGTGGTTTGAGAAATGGTCAACCGGATGAACTCCAGTTAAATATTCAAGTTCACCCTATAAATTCATGCTTTTCTTATTGTTATATGTGTAAGTTTAAGCTTTCCCAACAACTTCTAAACGCCAAATCGGCAAGCATGCATTTAAAGGTTAATGCAGGTTATGTGGCATGCTTATTCACAGAACAACTAAAGCGAAACTTTAATAAACTAGCCACCGAGGTTTTTTACTAAACAAAAGAAACACACGTGTGTTGCCATTAAACATACGTATAAGTTAGAGAAAAGCACTCAAATTTACTGCTGCTATTAATTTTAATTTATGAGAGTCCGCTATTTGCTGCTTGTAAATCATTTATTTCACATTTGGGTAAGATGTGGCAATATTTAATAATTTACAAAAATTGAACAAAACGGACAAATATGTCGAAAAGCTTAAAGTTTAGCTGAAAGCGGACTCGCATGGTACCACTAATGCATGCCCTGTGTATTGATGTTTTGTCTTGTTTTCTTGCTTTTTCAAACAGCTTTAGTCTAGTCTAAAATCGATTCAAGTTCTACACATGTGAGTTAGGACGCAATTTATGAAGCATTGTCTTCAAAAATTCTTTGCTGTGAAAAACGTGAAAACGTGTAATTAAAGCCTTTCTGTTTCATGAATTCAATCTAGACCAAGATAGTAAGATGCAATATGGAAATATCGAAACCTTTAACTAATTTGAATTTGATTAAATAAGGTAAAAGTTTCAGCTGAGAAATCAATAAATTGGTTGGTTCGGTTTTCCTCGTGTGTGAAGCTTAGAATATGCTAATCGGATAGATAATGCTATTACGTACTAACATTTTTTTGTGAAATGCGATTTTCGCTGAATAAAATTTCATTATTTTTTTATTTTGTTCCAGAGAACTGTCTGAAGATGGTTACTCCGGTGTGGAGGTGCGTGTTACCCCAACACGTACAGAGATCATTATTATGGCGACCAGAACCGACCGTGTCTTGGGAGAGAAGAACAGGAGAATCAGGGAATTGACATCTGTTGTACAGAAACGTTTTAATTTCCCCGAAAACTCCATTGTTCTCTATGGAGAGAAGGTCGCTAATAGAGGTCTGTGCGCCATTGCCCAGGCCGAATCTTTGAGGTTCAAATTGATCGGTGGTTTGGCTGTACGACGAGCCTGCTATGGTGTTTTAAGATACATCATGGAATGCGGTGCTAAAGGTAAGATAAGACCAGGATCAATTGTGAAATGTGGTTTTTATATGACACTATTGTTTCAGGTTGCGAAGTTGTGGTGTCTGGAAAACTGAGAGGACAAAGAGCTAAGTCCATGAAGTTTGTTGATGGGCTCATGATCCATTCGGGAGACCCATGCAACGACTATGTAGACACTGCTACTCGCCATGTGTTGCTCAGACAAGGTGTTTTGGGAATTAAGGTGAGTGAAAAATTGATGAGAGTTAGTGGAGGTCGCTAGAAGTCTGGAAACCTTGACGTAAACAATTATGTGCAATCCTTTCTCGTTTAATTTAAGCATTTTTTTCTCTAGGTGAAAATCATGTTGCCTTATGACCCCACCGGTAAAATTGGACCGAAGAAGCCTCTACCTGACAATGTTTCAGTAGTGGAACCCAAAGATGAAGTGGTACCCACGGTACCTTCATCTGAAATTAAGGCTGATGTGCCTGTTTGAAAATTTTACAAATAAATAAAATTTCATTCCTTTTTAATTTTAATTTTACCTTTCCTTGCCATAATTTATTATTGCCAGTCTAATTTGATATTTAAAAAAAATTGTATTTGTTTTTTATTTTTAAGTGTTGGTAAATTTTCGCCGCATGCGTGTGTCAGTTTGCACGTAGCCTTAAATAGGAACGATTGAAATTCTACGCATACTCTAGCACAGATGCATTACGGATCATACTACCTACTTGCGATTGTCAAATCTAATGTCAGTGGAAAATCAGATTTTTGTTTTCTATTTTTATAAATTATCAATAGTTTTTCTTATAATTTGGAGATTCGAACGCAGATCGACTATTTAGATTACATAATAATGAGGTAAATTTCCCGATTAATATTTATTCGATATCCTGACACGTTAATTCATTGCTTTCTATTATTTTACTTGATAACGTTTTGTTTGGTTTTTTATAAACAAACTTTTGACCATACTTATGCTTTGTAAAATTTGCATATTTCTACCTATGGTTGTTTAGTGAATTTATGGCAGCCGATAAGAGGACTTTCAAAGTGTCTGAAGGGCAGAAAACGTACAAGTTAACATTATTAGAATCACATGCTCAACGGGGATGAAAATGTTATCACCTGTCCGAAAAGCGTTCGACAGCAACAAATTCATTATTCAGGACAATGTTTTATTTATTTAAAACTCATATTGGCTCCTTAATGCTATTGTAACCCTTTTGGGCTTGCAGGGCTTTCACCAAGTCATTAACCGTTCTACTAAGCCTTTCTGCTTTTGGTTTCACCAGCTACATGCTCTATTTATTACTGAAAAAAGATAATGAAGATGATTTATTGGATAACTATGTGCAAACATCCAAACATAAAACGATGGAGATTACAATACCCAAAGCTGTTGTACGAAGCCTCATAGGACGAAATGGCAGCAATATCAAGAGATTTCAAGTGAGTGAATGATTGAATTATATTTGATATCAAGCTGATCGAAATGTGGCAATTACAGGAACAATCAAATACCAGGATCAACTTTCGAAGTCAGGAAGACAAACAAGATACTATTTGTGTAATCAGGGGAACTGTGGATGCTTGTGACATCGCTTATAGTTTAATTCAGGAGTTTATTAATAACCAACCTGTGATAAACAGTGAAGATCTATGGATCCCAGCTGCATTTGTTAAAAATATTATTGGTCGCGGTGGCGAAAAAATTAGTGAAATTAACACAGTATCGGGAGCCAAGGTAAATGTACGTAATGAACAGAGGGGCCTTTCATCTGCAAGACTTCAGCTCGTAGGTAAATATATAGTTTAAACAACAAAACTTCTTTAGTCTAATAATTATCGAGTTGTAAGCTTTGGATCTACGGTTTTAACATGCTTGTGTTCTTTTGGTCTTTAAGATCACGAAACAAACAGTAGATCTATAATGTTGCACTTCTGGCAACCTTTTAAGCTAGAAATGCTTGTCGATGTTCTGTATGGTCATGTATGGTATGGTTTAAATACGCTTTAAGTGGCCGGTGGTTGCAAACCATTTATAACTACATACATTTTAAAAACAAAACAGACGGAGAAACAGAATGAATAGGCCAAAATAAATGGTTCCACCTGTTGTAAGTTGTATCCGGCTTTTCAGACTATAACTGTTAAGTAGGTACTTTCTTCCTTCGGAAAGAAGCTCTTCAGGGTTGTTCGTTCTTCGGTTTAATTGCCTCGTTTTTCGCGCAATATATTTTGTAGTTCAGTGCGATCGAAGACCTAAGTCTCTTATCATTCTTCCTTTTTATCTTGATTTCGTTGAGTTTGGATATTTCTTTGTGTTGTTGCCCTATTTTGCACCATAATTGTTTTTGAGTTACGTAAAAATCCCCTTTTCTTTTTTTTGAAAATTGTTTCCAAATAGTGGTTCTTCGTTTGTCGCACTAACGTGTTCGTTTCTTTTCGTATTCCTTTGTATTTTTCTAGGGATTTGGAGGTTTTTGTTGCCTGATGTTTTAAATATGCCCTTTCTTTGCATTTGTCTTTTATTTCGTTGCTGAACCAGGGTGTTTTATTGTTGATGTTGTTCTTTACAACCTTTCTTGCCCCTAACGTTTCATATGCGTAATTTTCTAAATTCCTTCGTGTCTTGTCCTAGTTTGATCTACGCTGTACATTTCGTTCACTGATAATGTTTCTAAATGTGCTTTTAGTCGATCTTTGTATCGTTGTGTGGATTCGTTATTCTTTTTTCTGTTGGTTCTTCGTGTGCCTTTTCTTATTACATTTATTTTGGTTTTTTCGAGTACTAGTTTGTGGTCGGTGTTCTCATTGGCAGAGAGTTTTTACTTCGATTATTCGCTTAGGATGTCTTGGACTGTTTGTTAAATTAAGTAATTAAATCGACCACAAATTGTCCCATTGAAATTTCGTAGGTATATTTGTATTGGTTTTAAAATAATGTGTTATTTATTCTAAACCCTTTCTATGAGCAAAAAATTATCATGGGTTCTCCGTTATTGTTACTACTTACTCCAATGGAATAAAAAAGGAAGTTATTGCCGGACCAAATCCAACATCTTCGAATTTAAATCATTGGCAATTCCTGAAGTGCAAAAAATGGTTTTGATTTTTTTTAACTATCTTTTATAGGCACCTGTGAACAGATAAATGTGGCTAAATCCCTTATCGGGGAAATAGTGGAGCAATGTAATCTCGAGAAGGAATCGATGCAGAAGCGATTAGCTAAAAGAGAGCCTAGGCAACCATCCAAATTAATAGACCCCGTCCAAGAAATTGATAGTCCTAAATACGAAAGATTGTCACCAGTTCCAGGTAGTGTGTAATATACGTGTGCAGTGTCTTGATAAAAAACTGCGTTTTTTAAACCGCAATCAACTTGACTTTCTTCTAGGGCAAGAAGATAATCAAATCGAAGTTTATGTCTCGGCAGTGGAGTCTCCGGCAAAGTTCTGGCTGCAAATAGTGGGGCCCAAAGCTGTCGAGCTGGATTATTTGCTAAATGATATGACTGAGTATTACAGCAAACCCGAAAACCAACATATCCACATTTTAGACGAAGTTAACGCTGGAGATCTTGTTGCTGCAATTTTCCCGTATGATAACAAATGGTCTGTTTGAAAACGGAAAATGGTATAAATGAAAAGTGACAATTATTTCCTTTAATCAGGTACAGAGCCGAAGTTCTTGAAGTCAATGATTCCCCTGAAGGCAAAACTGCGACTTTGCATTATGTGGACTATGGGGACGGAGCTGTTCTGCCCTGTAAAGACTTGTTTGAGCTGCGAACCGATTTTCTTACCTTACATTTCCAAGCTATCGAGTGCTTTCTGGCAAGAGTTGGTACGATTTATTCATGGCTTATTTTCGAATTATTAAAGTTCATTATTTAGATCCTAGATGGGATACTTGGTCTGATGAAGCGATCAATCTTTTTGAACAGTGGTGTCACGTAGCCCAATGGAAGAAAGTATCGGCTCGCATTAACGGATACACAGTCAAGGAAAAAGTTCGAGCCAAACGAGAAGGATCGCCAGTACCAGGTAAAACAGTGCTAATCTCACTTTTTTCCAAACTATTTATTATTGTATTTTCCAGGTGTAGATTTATATGATGTTACAAACAACGGCGACATCGACGTAGCTGAAGAATTAGTCAAAGCGGGCTTTGCAGTATTCAAAAAAGGATCAGATTTACGGTCAAACAGTCGAAATACCAGTACGAGCAACGTTAGCGAAGCATCCAGTGTGTCGTAGGACATCAGAACTGAGAACGCATTGCACTTACATAATGTAAGTAAACGCATCTGGCTATCTGGCAGCTCACGAAGTGCATTTCGAATTTGATCCTCAAATATTTTAACCTGTTTGAGCAAGATAGGTGCAACTACTTAATAAGAAGCAAATGAAAAGTTTTTTTTATGTAAAATGTTGAAATTAAGATAAATAAACTGTGACAATAATAACCATTGTTCTCAAGTTTTTTTATATTTAATAAAAAGCGCGTAGTTTTGAAGTGAGAGCAACCTATTTCCAATTTTCTTTGTTAGTAGGTTTTAGTGAATAAAAACGGTTTAGAACTTGCATATTTTATTTAAATAAACCCCGATCAACGGTTCGGCCTCATAACTCGAGTCAGTAATTGTTCAAGGAGGGTCGCGAAAGCTTTATTATTTCACGTTAAAACAGAGAGCTAAAACAAACATATTTTCTCGACATCCTCATTTTGTTCTATTACTTACAATTCCAAAATGCGTAAGGCAACTTACAAAATTGGTTACTCGCAATAAGTGAAACGGTAAAAATCTACAGAATTATGTTTCCCAGATCTCTTATTATTTCGTCTATATTGCTTGGGACAAAAGGTATATTTTCCATTATTTGAGGCAGAATATTGCAGGAAAACTCATAGTCCAGCTAATGTTAGAAATAATATTTATTGAATAATGTCGCAGATAACATTGGCCTTAAAACAAAGACATGGCAAATAACTTGAGATGAAATAATTCGACTTCCGCATGTCAATTTTGATCAATGTGAGATTAAACTACAATAAGCGATAAGTAACATAATTTTTTTATTCCATTGTATGCGTTTTTTACTTATTTCGAGCTAGTTCCATAATATGAAAATGGAATAAATATATTTATTTTACAATTGCATACGTAAGGCTCACATACAGTCCAAATTGCGAGTTTTAAATATAATTCAAATTATATGAAGTATAATGGAATATTTCTATAGACAATACAGGGACAGTACAGATATTTAATTAAAGGAAAAAAATGACCTTTGAATTAGCCTGTTTTGATTTACTTACCTGGAAGCCAATAAGATTTGGATTGAAACTAAGTGTTGGTTGCCATCTTAATAGAAAATGTGTGCAGGCAATAATTCGGTAGTCTGTTCGATATTTCCTCTAAACATTTTATATTTATACAAACTTGTTGACATTGCCAAATCCCACATTCTGAAGTCATCTCAAACATATCTTATATTCCGTCTCGATGAACCGAATGATACAACCAAACACCTAAATCACTAGATGATCCTACTATCCTCAAAAATACACAATCGAAATGTATTCGAACCATGGGATTTTGAAATTTTATTTTCACTAAATTTTTAAATTTTTCTTTTTATTATAATAGTTACATGTCGCGAAATATCTTGAATGCGTTTTGTGTTGAATTTATGTTAACAAATACAGTAATATACTCTAAGCAGATTTGTATGAGATTGACAGTAAAATTACAAGAAATAGTCGGGAGTTCGACGTGTTACGTGCGGTTCGCCTCGTCTTGGGGCTGGATCAAATTGTAAGCTATAAAAATGCAAGTTGCAAATAAAAACAACATATTTAACTAAATAATCTATACTTACAAGGAATATTTAAGGGCATCATCCAGTTCCATGATAGCTGCCTGATTTCCACAGCGATAGCAGTAGTTCGGCGCGCTGAATATAGTAACAACATTTCTATCATGACACCAGTTATATCCTTCCATCACCAGCTGATGGGCTCTGAAAATAAACATTTATTATAAATGATACCATTTTGAAGCTGAAGTGCTATTAATGGAAGTTGGATTATAATTTGATATCATACACACCTTGAAACTAATGTCAGGCCATTTGAATGATTAAATGTTTCCGATATATCCTGACCAAATGTATATCCTGCTCCACGTGGACTGATACCCCACCCGCCACGGTCATCGGGATCTGACCATAGCAGATCGCACATAGGCCCTTCATGAGGAACCTGAAAATAATAAGTAATAAGAAATGTAAAGGATTTGCTTTACTATGTAACAGCCCTCAAATCTATTGTTTGGTGAATCATCAACAAGTATTTACACTTCAGTCATCAACTGTTGCGAATAATAATCTTTAAGCAATATGACGTCATATTTAGTTATCACTATGATGATTATCAATCGACTAATAAAAAATCAAGAAAATACTCTTAACGCTTTTATGTTAAATTAAGTTACTATTCAAATTATCGTTGAATAAAGCAAAACCCAGACCTTCAAAGTACAGTTATCAAATTTCGCATTATGACAAAAGTTCAAGATAATTGAAAACAATTTCCAATTACCTTGAAGTTGTTTAGTTTTTATTAATTAATGCGATTCTTACCTCTTGCAAACGATCCAATGCCCGAATGTGATCTAGTGTATCAATACTTGGGCTTAAACCGCCATGGAGGCAGAATATTTGACTGTCAACAAGAGCGGTCAATGGTAGGTAGTCAAATAAATCAGTAAAGAACTTCCATACGTTGGCGTTGCCATATTTTCTCAAACATTCATCATAGAATCCATAAACTTGTGTGATTTGTCTCGATTCGTGGTTTCCTCGCAGAATCGTAATTCTTTCCTTATAGCGGACTTTAAGGGCGACAAGAAGCGTTACGGTCTCAACCGAGTAATAACCGCGGTCAACGTAGTCGCCCATAAATAGGTAATTTGTATCAGGACTGCGTCCACCTATCCTGAAGAGTTCCATCAGGTCGTGAAACTGGCCGTGTACATCGCCGCAGACTGTTACGGGACATTTTACTTCTTGCACGTTAGATTCCTTTGAGAGTATCTCTTTAGCCTGTAATTGAGACAAAAAACCACAGCCAACTGAATGAATTATTATCACAATTAATTTACAACTAAATTTCCTAATATTACCGGGAAGCATAATAAATATCTATATACAATAAAAAAAAATGTATCTATAAAACATTATGAAAATAGTTGATTGTATAGTAACCATGCAATTATTATGTTTATGTGTAATGATCACTTTTTCATCAATCCGAATTTCTTCATTGATTTGCTATGGTTTAACGTTTTAAATGGTAATCAGACTGAAAATTTACTAATTTCCTTGACCTAGTTGATATCCAACAGACAGTTGCCTTTTTTTAAGATCTGCTGTTTATTCAAAAGATTTTTAAATCGAAACAGGAACGGTGAAGGAAACACGATGGTATATTTGTTAAAACATTTTTGCGTCAATAAAAAATCATTCCGTCCATTTTCTTTTAATAATCTTCCATTAATTTCTGAAAAGGAAAAGTAGGTTTATTAATATCGACTCGACTCCGTATAGCTATTTTAGGCAGTTCAGTTTTGATAATAAAAACAGACACTTTTAATTACTTAATTTAGTAAACATGCCCACAAGTAACCATATCGATGCAATAAACTGGAGTGAAACTCGATGAAAAAAAAACGATAAAATTTGGAAAAATATTTATAAAATTTTTAACGCAGCAAACACAAAGAACTGATAGTACATTGAGTACTACCTACTCCACATTTACTAAGCAAACTTAATCGGGTTCTTTACATTGAATCATAATTGTTATTTCGAAATATTCGACTTATTATATCTAAAGATTCCCAACGATATTAAAAAAAAATGAATTCTTATCTGTGATTCGGTTTTTGTATCCGCTGATTACCAGCGACAAATATATTGATATCAATACAAAAAAATCGATTTTATTCTGTTGCTCAAGTGTTTACCAGAGAAAACTATCGGTAGACTTAACTGAAAATGTATCCCTACCCTTTTGAATTAGTTACTCCGAATATTCCAACTGCATTTAAAAACGTAGGTGGGTTTTTCTATTAATATTAGTTTCCCTACCTATTTTCTGAACTGAAGATTTCCTTCTTGTTCTATATGGTATTTCAATGCGAATAAAATTTTGTTTCTTATTATGAAAAAAAAAGACAGGGGCGCATTACATTGTATGTATGGGAAACATTTCGAAAGTAATTAAAACTCAATCTTAATGAAAAGAAAATTATTACTATACAGGTCATTCTTCGTATTAAAGGGACCAACTATAAACGCTTCTTTACGTAGTTGAGGCAAGTTTTATGGATTTTTTAAATTGGTATCCCTGCAAACTGTATTAAATGCAAAAAACAAAATCTAAAATTAGGCTGTGTCGTCAGTTAGGTACCTGAATTAAGAGATTATATTGTTTAAATACTCGTTGCTTCATATGTAATTCGCATTGACAAAAATTTAATTATTTGTTATTACTAATTAATGTTTTTTTCAAACAAATTCAAATCGATCTGAAACGAATATCTGCATTACATATCCAAGCGTTCATCGGAAAATTTGTTCACGCTCTTACTTCAATTCTCATTTACGTCGTGCAGACTGAAAATAAACTGTCTATCGTGAAGTAAATACAAAAACCACAACAATCGGAGCATTGGAAATAAAGCAAAAGAGTTATTTGACATTGTTCTCCTACTTCCTTCAAAACTGTTTTGCAAAATATTGTAACGGAAATGGCCTGGGGTACTCACGTTTGGAATGGGGGATCGAAATTCATGGTATTTCAGTAAATGGGAGCCCCATTTGGGCCCCATTTACTGTCAAATATGACACTGACAAGCGGGAAGTTTCGCACCTGTTCTGGAGATTTCGAGAACTATCTGGAATACCTGGAGGAAACTATATAAGCGACGAACCACACAGAGAAGTGAAGTGACAGGAGCGACCAGGTGCAGAAGAAGGTTAAACCCGCGAGTCGGAAACGCGTGTTTTCCGTGTGTTATTGTTATCGTTTGTGAAGTTGACCGTAATTTTGAAGTTAGTTTGTTCCTGTTCCGTTATTAAAGTTGTACCGAGTGGAATAAAAGTTGGAAGCAGAAGAAAGAGTTGGATACTCGGCCATCCACGGTACATTTGGTGTCAGAAGTGGGATTTACCA